GGCAGATCCTCTGGGGAGGAGATGCAGTCACCCATGCCTAGCCRCTGGACCATGAGGGTCAGCTGCGAGATCTTGGAAAGTCCTTCAAGGGAGATCCACCTCTTCCCTCTCCCTAGGAAACATCATTGGCCTTAATTTAAGTCAAGGTGGGAGGAGAAGGGGACAGTCGTTGTAGGAAAGCTGAGTGACGATGGTTTAATCCCATTTAGGGACACTTTGAGCAATGACTTATGGATAATAAGCAATTTAAAATTCTTTGGTCAGTCTCTAGCTAAAGGCTTTTTACGGGGGAAAGAATGAGTAATTCAGCGCAGATGATCTTGCCTTTCATAAGCTTTTATTAGTGATTTGTTGGACACGGATAACATAAATTTTGCTACTCATCTGTTAACAACTTCAATTGGAAGCTGGTCTCCCTGCTCTGCCCATAGCATCTCAGACACCAGCGTAGGAACGGGAGGATCGATAATTCCTGTTTGGTACTGTATCTGGGTAAGCGATCATGACTGTAATATTTCTATTTATTGAATATCGTGTCAACAGATTCCCATTTCAAGAAGAATAAAACAAGTTACATTCAATGTCAAGGTTGTTTATCCATACGAAGGGTGCACTACATATTTCACTTAAAAAAAAAATCTGTGCTAACATTCTTTATCTAAAATAATCCATGCTTTGATCCCCGCTGCCAAGTAAAAAATAATTTTGCGTTGACTCTGTCAGCTGTCGAGATACATTAAGTCCCATAAAACGGACAGTGGCTTCAGGAAGAAACGTAGTACATTTGTTCCCCCCGCCCCTGTGTATTGAATGAAGCATGAGGTGAGTCTATTCACTGTATCAATGTGAACCTGGACACACACACACACACACACACACACACACACACACACACACACCAGTTACCCAGGGCGGGGGGGGATGGCTAAATTTACCAGGCGAGTAGGAAACTTAGCTGCAGAATTATTTCAAACCTATAGTTCTCAAACACAGCATGAAAAGTCTGAAAAATGAAATTTTCGTCATTAGAGCTGACAGCTTCCAGTCATAATATGCTGACATGTGTAGCAGGAATTAAGAGGTTCCACCAGCAGAACCAACCTTTTTTTTTTAGGCAAATYATCTATGGTAGGTCCGTGAATCCCACCGCGGCTGCAGTACGCTGGACACTTATCAGTGACACAGTACAACTTTCGGGGACTTGGCGTTCTTTCTTATGTAGATTCCAACCTAATTACTGGCTGAGTGGAGGCACTTCCTGCCAGGCAAAGCCAAGGAGATCTGTGCAGAGGGGCAGAGGCCAAGGGGTTAGTGCCATGTGGTGCTTCTCTAAGGTGACCTTGGGTTTGAATCGGTCCATCTCTGCAGGTATAGACCACGGTCTCTCCTACCTGCTCATCACCAACAGATACTCACTGTGTGTGCTACGGGGTCAGACATTGTCCTGGCTACAGGGACACAGAGAGGGTGGGGGAACAAACATGGAAGTAAATACCTGGAATGGACACCATACAGGCCAGGGGTTGTCTCGCCCTGGGGAACCAACTCCTCACCTGGGATGCTAAGGTGTCAGGATGTGCAGGGGCCCTGGGGTAAGCATGCCTGGGTTCAAATTCCAGCAGCACCTTCACGAAGTCATGGGTTCCTGGACCRGGAACTCGACTTGCTTTAGTCARTTTTTGTATCACTGTGACCAAAATACCCAACCAGAACAACTGAGAGGAAGAAGAGTTTATTTGGGGCTCACAGTATCAGAATTTCCGTCCATGGTGGGCCCGTTCTGTTGCCGTAGGTCACAGGTGAGGTGGAACCTCATGGCCCAAGTGCAAGGCAGTGGAAAGCAGCTCAGGACRCCGTGACTGGGAAGCAGARSGGGAGAGAGAAAGGGGAAGGGGCTTGCCTCCAGTGACCCGCTCCTCCAGCCCCACCCGCCTGCCCAGGGTCCAAACTAGGGTGGGTGGCCGAGTACAGCTCTCACAACACCCCTGCAYTAATACCAGGGTGTCGGGGGAAAGCGGGTCTCCAGCCACAGCCACCTCTCTGTGGTCACCTCTGCCCTACTCACATGGGGACCGCCAGGCTCCAGGCTTTGCCCCCAGGGCACTGTTGGAGGGTGGATAAGCAACTGATAAACAGGAGGGTGTCTGGCACATAGTGAGTTGTCACGCAGTGGCAAGGATTKGCTGGAATGATGACAGAAACGACCAGACACGTCAAGGAAGCCCTTCACTGGGCCCAGAGGGAAGACGTGGAGACAAAGAGGGCTACTCCGGGCCTTAAAATGCAGTGGGATTGGCCCTGCTGGGTTTTGGGCATGCGAGGCGCCTGCACCCCTTCCTGGGGAGGGATGGCCAGCCCCCGCCTGCCTTCCCACCATTGGGTTCTGGGCGCACATCACTGGTCTGGCTTCACAGCATCTGTTATGGTGTGGACATGAGGTGTCCCCAGAAAGTCACGTGTGAGACAGTGCGAGAGGTTCAGAGGAGCAATGAGTGGGTGGTGAGGGTCTTAACCCAATCGGTGAATCAGCCCTCCCCATAGGAATTAGCTGAGTGGAAGCTGAAGGGTGGSTGTGGCCGGAGGAGCTGGGAATTGGGGCGTGGCTGTGGGTATATATCTGTATCTGGGGTCTCTCTCTCTGCTTCCTACTGAGGTGAGCCACTTCCCTCTTCTGCCACACTCTTCTGCCATGACGTCTTGCCTCCCCTCGAGCCCCGAGGAATGGAGCCAGCCTCCTATGGTCTAAGACCCCGGAAACCGTGAGCCCTCGAATTAACTTTTCCTCTCCTAAAATTGTTCTGGTGGGAGCCTTTGGTCACAGGAGCGAAAAAGCCGATTGAACCAGCACCAACACRGAGAGAACTTGCATCTCAGGAAAGTCCAGGTGAGACGTTGGACTCGCAGGCAGGGGTTATGGCTTTGGGGCTGTCAGGAGGGTGAGTGTACTTTACATGCAGGAAGGAGATGAGCTGGGGGGAGCTGTGGTGGGGTGCTAGGTGCTGAATCGTAGCCCCCTCCRAATCCACGTGTTCGCGTCCTGTCTCGCCGTTCTTCAGAACGTGACTAATGGGCGCCGAAGGCTTGAAAGGGTGATTCTGTTAGATTGAGGTCATCGAGGTGGACTCTAATCCCATGACTGGCATCCTTATGAGAGAGGACCAGGACACAGACACCCACGTGGAGGAAGACAGGAGGAGACRTCATCTGCCAGCCAAGGAGAGAAACCAACCCTGCCCACACCTCCATCCTGGACTCCCACGCCCCAGCACTGAGGAAATGCAGGTGGCACCTGATTTATAGTTTGACTTGGAGTTTTTCAGGTTTATGATGGTGTTAAAGTGATAGCAATTTGGTAGAAAWCATACCTTGGAATTTTCAATTTTGGTCTTTATCTGGGCTACAATGGACTGTCCAGTACTCTAGGGATGCTGGACAGCAGTAGTGAGTGCAGCTCCCAGGCAGCCCCGCTATCACATAGGAACACAACAAACACTACAGTGAGCTGTGCAGCTAGGCGAGGATTGGCGGACTATTCGACACATGGAGTGAATATTGGATTTATGATATTTTCCGTTTGACCAAAGGCCTAACAGGACAYGGTACATGGAGGCACATCAGTATATTTGTGTTGTTTAAGCCACTCTGTGTCCAGGACTTTGTTACAGTGACCCTGGCAAGTARACTGGATTTTTTAAAACATTCTGCAGATCCGTGGGTGGGGCCCTCCAGGCCACGATTGACTGCTCATAAGGCTGCAGTCCTACGGGACGAGGGAGAGCAGAGGGAAGTGCTTCCACATCTCATGCTAGCCTCTGAGCCCATCACTGGTTCACAGAGTGATTCAGGCTGTGCCCCCCCCCCCCCGGGCCACCGCTTCCTCCCCTGGAGACAGAAGGCATGGGACAGTACCAGCCACTGTCACGGGGTTCCCCAGCAGGGGCTTTCTGTGAAATATACCAAGAAACCCCTGCACGGGGCCCTTTTCCCCAGCGGTGYGGTTACCTGGGAAAGAACAACGGAGCCGCAAGAAGATCCTGGTTCTGCAGGACCCGTCCAAGTCTGGGGTCTCAGGGAGGAAGGGAAGGCGAAGATGGAACCAGAAGTCCACCCGGGGCCCTGAAGTGGCCATGGGCCCAGACGGTACTTGACACATCTGAAGTTTTTTTTTTATAAAACTGCTTCCAGCTTCCTAAACAACAACAACCAAAGAGAAAAGTTTGTTCTGTGGTCACTCATGTGGGGCTCCTGCTCTGCCCTGGGCCCTCCCCGTCTGGAGAAGTGGAGACACACCAGGCACGTGCTCTCTGCATGAGGGAGTGGGTTCAGCTGTGGGGATCCTTGACCTGGCATCTGTGAAGGGTCCCTAAGAGAGTTTGGAAATCCCCGAGGTGCAGGAACAGAGAGCCGGTCAGCCAGGGGAGACTCCCTGCGGGGGGAGGGGGGGGGCGGGCAGGGGGGGGAGGAGAGGAGCGGGGTCCTGGAGGAAGGCTGGCTTGAGTCACTTCATTTGCATTCTCCATTCAGTCTCCACCATGAGGCCCTGCGAGGCGGGTTAAGTCATTTACAGGGTGATTAATTTTCGTGTGAGGGATGTAGACCTATTCCCGAAGGCCTCAAGTAATTCAAAACTAGCACAATTCAAGATTAATTCTCTGGAGGAGGAAATGTAAAGCAGGGTTTGTGCTCGTAGGAAATCTGCGCATAAAGTACAACTACTAATACATTATAGATCACAATTTCAGATTGGCACGATTCAGATTGGCAAAAAAAACATGACCACACAGGGTACCTTCTGGGGCCCGGGGAGCAGATTAGCAGGAGCAGAGACGAACTGGAGATCATGGAGGGGGCCAATGTGCTGGAAGCTTCCACCTCCACTGGAGCTTCCCATGCCCCAAGCTTGGCAGGTCAGCCCTGGAATGCCCGCTGCCCACCCCGAGGCAGTGAGTGTCCCCTGAAGATGGCTTACCTGCCATGAGACAGGACTGTGTAATGACCCAAAGTTTCTCCTCTGACTTCAGACAGACCTGGGTTCAAGGCTTGCCTTATCTATAGACATTGGGCAAAGAATTCCAACTTTTTAACTCTCAGTCACATTGCTATAAAATATTGATGGTATCGATAATAACGCCTGCTTCAAGGGGTCTCCAGGGTTGAAGAGGCACTTGTAAGTGCTCAATAATTATTAGCTTGTAGCATCACTAGTGTAGATATTCTGTGACCTCTTCTCCTTGTTCCACATAATCTAGAAAAATTGACATATGGCTATCCCCACTTTACAGGCCAAGAATTGGGGTGTCAGGAGAGTTGACGAGGTTTGCTTAATTTTTATAACTAAGATGGTGACATGAAGACAGGAACCCAAGTCCACCTGCTCACACATTCTTTTTTTATATGTATATATATTTTTTTTTTAATTGTAGATGGACACAACACCTTTATTTTGTTTTTAGGTGATGCTGAGGATGGAACCCAGTGCCTTCCCCATGGAAGGCGAGTGTTCTACCACTGAGCCACAACCCCAGCCCCACCCGGTGACACATGCTACGTCCACACTTTCCACTCGGTGGCTCTCCTGTCGGGAGGAACAGGCATGGACCCTGCCATCCACAGGACCCCAGAGCCCTGGGGCAGGATCGGGGCCCTCCAGCCACCACACTTTCCCACGGAGTTCGTACCTGCGTGGCCGGTGAGCACAGATGTGCTTCTCAGACGCGGCTGGCATTTCAATAAGGACAGGACATTCTGTGCTGTAAAAACAGAACATCATTGCTTACCAGGGGCTTATAAAAATAATTGCAATCCAGCCTGGCCTCTGTCACTAGTAATTTATCGCACGGCACCTCTTTTGTTAATGCAGTTTACACGAGTCAAACGAGCTACGTGCAAATGAGGAAGCATGTTAGGCCTCAAGCCAAGAAGTGGCTCCCACAGGTGTGAAAAAGAGTTTCCAAGGTTTCAAATCCCCAGTGGAGGCAGGTCACGGGGAAGGAGAGGCTGGGCAGGGAAGAGCCCGAAGCCTCCCTGAGTCAAAGAACACAAGGGTTAGGTCTCGGCCTCTCCCTGTTTCCTACTGCTGCCCTTCTGCAGGGCCACACCTCCCAGCACCTTGAATTCCATCTGTCCCTCAGGCTGCAAGACTAAGGCCAGAACCTCAGCGTGGCAGGCTGCATGCCCTGGGTGGAGCCCCGGCTTGCTTCCTGACCTGGCCTGCAGTGAGTGCGGTGTGCCCAGGACACCATGTCCTAGGTGCCCTTGTTCAGGCCAGCCCTGGGCCTGGGCCTCCCCTGCCCAGGCACTCGCCCCAATTCTGAAAGTGCTCCCAAGTCCCACCCTCCAGCCAAAGCCACTGTCACCTGTCAGAGCTCCAATGGCCTTGCCTCTGCTTCCTGCAGGAGATACTTCCTGCTGTCCACCAATGGGAAGGCTCCTACTCAGACSGCTGTCTGTTCAATTATTTAAACGTTGACTCTCAGATCTGAAGAGTGATCCCGCAGCTCCCTCCCTGGGCGGGACCTCGCACCAGCTTCTGAACCCTGGCGCCTCTTACCCCTTGTGCCAAGAAGTAAAGAGCCCACGGTCAAAGAAAGTAGGGACTCTCCGAGAGCCTGGCCTGAGACACCCTGCAACCATGCCACATTGCCCCCTGATCAGAGTCCCTGTCACGCTTTTGCAACGAATGAATGGGTGAATAGAAGGAGGGGCCTATCCATGGAGGCTCTGAGGAGAAGACACCTGGCCACCCACACCAGAGATGGGGGGTCGGGTGACACGTAGACCATATGGCGTGAACAGCGGCGGCTACCCAGCTCGAGCCACKTACTGAACACCAGGCAGGTCTCCTTAGGATGTGTGTGTTGAACTAAGGGTCGTGGGCCACCAGGGAAGTCCAAGACCTGACTTAGGATCTAGATTCTCCATCCCAAAGTTTCCATGTGGCTTCAGAACACATTGGGGATCCCAGTTCAGAAAAAATATTGTCTCACACTGAGTTATACCGAAAGGCACAGCTAGAAAGAAGGAGGTCCCTCCCTAAATTCAAGTGTTTATTCCCTGATAATCAACTCCTTGAGGAAAATATATCTCCTCTGCTACAACTGCCTCTCTCAAAACATCTAGCATCTGTCGTACACATCAGGCACGTGCTGCAGTCCTGAAGGGATCCGCGACTGCGGTGCCACGGCAGCTTCCCACCTGGAGAAACTCTAGGTATTGCCCAGGAGGTTGAAAGTGCTTCTGCAGCCATGAAGGAGTCTGTAACGGCTGCAGTTCTGAACGCCTCCTGGCTGCCAATGCCCTCAAACCCTTGTGACCTCATGAGGGTGAGATGAGCACCCTCAGTGTCCCTGATTGACAGACAGGGGGGCAAGCACGAGTTGTGGGATAATGAACAAGGGCCAATAGGGTTGCTCATGCACTAAAGAAATGTGCAGCAAGCCCTTGCAATTCACAGATTCAGAGGATTCACAGGGACACAGAAATGACCGAAATACACGCTCCCTCCCCAAGGAGGTCCCAATCTAGGGTAGAGAGACCTGGGGCTATGTTGGGAGACAGGTCCTGATAGAAGCCAGAACAAAGTGGCACAGGAATCCTAACAAGGGAAGGATACCCCACCTGCGATGGGACTTTGTACAGAGAAACATTTGAGGCCTGTGTGAAAACATGGCTGCAGAAACCCGAAGGGCGGGCAAGGCAGGGTGGACACTCGCAGGCAGAGGCTGCAGCTCGTGCAGGAGTGAGGATTTCCAAGGAGAAGGAAACTTCCTTGTCCCTGTGTGCTTCGCCAGTCTGACCAGGTCACCCCTGCCAAAACCTTGCCATCRAGTTAGGAGGAGGTCGAACGCCTCAATCCCCCAAAGGCCCACATTGCTCATCCCTGCTCCCCCACAGCCGCACCTGTGCCACTGTCCCCATGGTCCCCTCAGCCCCAGCTCCAGCCCCCCTCAGTGCCCATCCCACCCATCTCACATACACCACAAGTGTGTGCCTTCTGCAGGTCCATGACGGGCAGGCCTGAGCCACTCCAAGGTCACCACCAATCAGGGAGGGCTGATGCAGCTCCACGTGCCTCTCCTCCTTTGGGACCAGTGGCCAACCTAGGACACCCTCTCACATGGACAGCAGAAGTACAAGAAGGTCAGCTCCCCCAAGCAGGCGCTTCCAAGCCCTTGCTCACGTCACGTCCACTAGCATCTCACTAGGAGAAAGGTCACATGGCCAAGCCCAAAGTCGGAGGTAGAACGTAAACTGCCCTGTTTAATGGGAGGGGCWGGCAGGACTATGGACTGACCATGAGCCTAGCTGTAGGGTCACCACCACCCCATCTCAGGACCTCCCAGCGCTCCGTCCTCGGTCCCTCTGCCTGGAAGGCTCTTTCTTCCCTCCGCCCCTCCCTGGCTCCCATACAGTGGGGTCTCCCCTGACACCCGACCGGGGCAGGTCCTTCTATGCCAGTGCTCCCAGAACACCCTGCAGTTCTCCTGCATTCCATTTCCCAGGGTGGGAGCTGAGTGTGCGTGTGCGTAAGGATCCAATCACAGTCTGTCTTCCCACAAGGGCAGGGACCACATCTGTCCCCCTCATCACACCCACTCTATAGCCAGTGCCCCAAAATGTTCGTGGCACAAATGAGCTCAACCAGTGGACTCATGGGAGGTGTCCCCAGTCGAACCAGCATTATGTAAAAACAGCTCTGCAAAGACAGAGCAGGAGCCAGCGGGCCCAGGGTGGGGCTGCAGGGCCCGGGCAGAGGGAGCTGCAGCGGCCCCTCCCCCAAATGATGGCGGCCCAGGCAGGGAAGACATCCATTCCTTCGCACAGGGATGTGTTCTGTGTGCCAGACTGGGAATACCACCTCTTAGCATCTGCCCCAGGTGGGTGGACGCCCAATAGGAGCATCAGTTATCAGATGCTCCGGGTGGTAACTGTCTGGGGAAGAGGTGACAGTATGGGGACAGTGGGCAGCAAGAGAAAAATGCAGAAATCATGACCAGAAGTGCACTCATTCCCTCCGTGTGTGATAGATGCCATTGTTTTAAATAACGATATAAATAACCCAAGTGCCACAGATCACTTTCCACAGAACAGAAAAGACACAGAACTCACACTTGACCAGGAAACAATTAAAAACCATGTAAGCTTGAAAACTATGGCATGTTCCCAACAGGAAGCATGGGGTTCATGGGGGACCTGGGTCCCTTCAGATGCTGGATTGAGAATCAAACCACCCTAGTATTCACTAAGATTAATTACAGCAAAAAGGTACCAGCTACCTCTTCCCAAGAATATTATACTATTATGGACATGTCACAAAAAAATTATTTCCATCCTATCAACCACCCTCTGAAGTGGACAATCTGAAGCAAGCCGAAGACACACAGAGGTGGAAGGGAAGAACCAGCACCTGACCCCGTGTGTGTCATGGTACATGGCTTCTCAGATGCCCGCCCACCCTGTCCCCTAGTGTGCACACCCAGGAAAGCACCCAACTTCAGTGTGAGCTGAACTTAAGGACTCACTTCTCATAAACAGAATCACACAGCAACTGTGGCTTCCGCCTTGATCATCCTTCCCTCTCTCCCTCTCTCTCTCACCCCCACCCCAGGATAATGAAGGAGACAAGCTACTATACGTGAGAGGAATCTGTCTGGCCAACAGCCACCAGTCTCAGCAGAACTGAATGTTCCAAACAGCTGGGTCAGTGAACATGGAAAAGAATTTCCCCCAGTCAAGCCTTCAAGTGGCCACAGCCCCAGTGTCACCTTGATTGTAGCCTGGGAGAGGCTAAGCTAAAGGCATCCAGCTAAGCCACAGGTACATTCCCAGCCCATAGGCACTGTCAGGTAATAGGGCTGTGTTTTCTGAAGCTGCAAGTTTGGGGGTAATTTGTTACGCAGCCATAGGTAACTAATACATACATCTAATTTCAGGGTCCATGGTTCCAGCCATTATAACCAGCTGCTTCAGAGATCTTTCCAAGTTATTTCAGCCCCCAAACTACCTACCCCTGGCCTACAAGACAGAGGCACTGATCCGTCGTGCACCTGAGCTCTGAGAGAGGGAAAGGATATTAGAATGCACGTCTCAAGCCAGCTTCTCTGAATGCAATAATTAGTACAGTTTACTACCTGCCAGGGTTCTACGTTCAATGGTCTAATGAAATTATTGTCATTTAAAATGATTGTTATAGTAAATTGAACGCTGCCTCAGTCTGTCTCAGCCTGGAAGTTCCCTGAGGTGCCAGCTCATTAGGAAAACCACTATTAAGAGTGTCTTCCAGGGAACTTCCCTCACTCTTCTCTCTGGAATGCCATTCTGCTCCAGGCCTTGGGAGGGGCTACCCCAAAACGTGCTTGCCATTTTTTCCATCATATTTTAAGATAGACACCAACACAGATAAGGGCAGAGCAGAATCGACTAACTTGGGGAATTATGGAGGGGTCTTGTAGAGAAAGACCTCGAAGCGGGCCCTTGGGGGAGAGAAGTCTTGGGACTGACCCAAGGGCATTGGGAGGGGGATTATTTTCTCTCCAACTAATTCACTTGCTCATGATTTCAATAAATGGTCCTTGAGCATGTGCCCTCCCCATGGTGATCACTGAGGAACAGAGAACAAAAGACACTATCAGTCTAAAGAAATTTCAGAACAAAATTTGGAGAATATGTAATTGACCCATTGAAAGGATTGATCATAAAAGGAATGAGAGATTAGAAAGATCTTCCTAAGATTAATGGGATGGATTTTCAG